ATTAAATCTATTATCCGTTTAACTATTATATTATTATAAAATATAAGATATTCTTATAGTCTATATAGACCTTAACTTTATATTTACTTCTAAGAAGGTAGTATTAAAATTCCTTAAAAGCTTAAATAATTATAAGGAATTCTTTATTATAGATAGGGTAATTAAGTTCTACGCTATATAGCTTTTTTAAGTAGAATATAATTAGTCGTAGTCTTTCTTTATTATCTTTTTATCCGATTTATACTCTTAAAGTAAAGTTTAATATATTAGTTTTAAGTTCGATTTATCGTTTTAAATTAAAGGTAGTTAAGACTAGTTCTTATATAATTATAGTCTTAATATATTTAAAAGCTTCGTTAGCTTTATCGTCCTATATAAATTCTTTTTCTTTCTTTATTAAGTCGTATAATAGTACTATAATCTTTCCGAAATCTTTAATAAATTATTAGTAGTAATTTATAAATCCTAGGAAACTTTATATATCCTTAACGTTTTTTAGCGTTAGCTATTTTTTAACTAAGTTAATCTTATCTTATTATATATATATCTCTCTTAGTAAGATTATATATCTAAGGAAGTCTACTTCTTATATATAGAACTTACTTTTCTTTAGTTTAACTAGTAACTTTATATTCTAAAGTATATAAAGTACCTTATAGACGTATTCCTTATATTCTTCTAGGGTATCTAAAAAGATTAAGATATTATCTAGATATACTACTATAAAGATATCTAAGTATTCGCGTAGGATATTATTAATTATCTATTAAAAGGTAGCTAGTATATTTATAAGTTTAAATAGTATTACTAGATATTTAAATAGTCTAAATTTCGTTTTAAAAGCTATTATTTATTCGCGTCCCTTTTTTATATATATTAAGTTATAAGCGCCTTTAAGGTTAAGGGCTATAAACTATTTTTTACTATATAGTCGATCTTATAGTTCCGATATAAGTAGTAATAGTATTTAGTCCTTTATTATAATATCGTTTAAGCGTCTATAATTAATAACTAGTTATAGCTTACCGTTTTTCTTTAGAATAAATATAACTAGATAGCTTACTTTAGATATTAATATTTATATATATCCTTTTTATAGATTCTCGTTAAGGTAGTCGTATAGCGTTTATAGTTACTTTTCGTTTAAGTTATAGATTTTATAAAACGTCGGCGTTATTCTATCCTTAAGATAAATTTCGTAGTCCTATTAGCTATATTTAAGTAACCCTATCTTAAGTTCTTCCTTAAAGAGTTTATTATATTTTTAGTATTCTTAAGAGATATTCTTTATTTTATCTTATAGGCTTTATTCTTTCTTTTAAGAGCTAGTTTCTCTTAACTTAAGCTCTTTATTAATTTATTTAAGGTCTTTCCTTAAAGTAATAATAACTCTTTAGATCTTTATATTATATCCTTTATTCTATTTATATTAGATACTAGGTTATATAGCCGTATTAGTTAGTATATAGGTTTTATTAGTCGATTTTATTATATCCGCTAGTTTAGTTACTATTTTCGTTTATATTACTAAAGCCTATAATAATTTACTTAAACGGTTATCCTTTTTATCTTATTTAGTAGCTAAATTATCGTAAAATTTTACTTTCTCTTAAATCTATTAGTCCTAGAAACTTATATCTTTATTTTAACGTAGCTAGCTAGTTTCTAGTTAATTAATAGGTTGCTCTCCTATAGCTATAGAAGTCTTAATATAAGGTCGTATTCTTTAATATTTATAATATCGAAGTTAACTTATTCGTTATAGCCTTAAATATTAATATTAAGGTAATTAATCTCTATATTAATAATTTTATTATTATAGTTAAAGGCCTCTCTTTTAATATTCGTAAGTTTATATAGATCTATCTTATATCTTTATATAAGTCGGTAATAATTAATAACTCTAAGTAAAATATAGTTACCTATCGCGCTATAGTCTAAAAGTATATATATATAATATCCTATAATTTAGATATCTAATACTATTTAGTCGCTATAGCTTACCGTTACTATATATAGGGTCCTTAGATCTTATTATATTATACTAGTCTATAGCCCTTTTATAGATAGTATACCTTATTTTTTACTTAGTCCTTATTTATTTTATTTAAGTATTCTTCTTCGATTTATTATTAATATTATTTCTTTATATTTTCGTTGCATAGTATTATATTAAGGCTTAAGAGACTAATTTCTTATAGCTAATTAAAGATTTCTTATTTCTTAACGCTATATTATTTATATTATACTACTTCGTAGTTAATTATATATTATATTTCGTAATTCTATTTATTTTCGTACTAAAGGTTAAGTTTTCGTTTTATATCTTTTTATTTTTTACGTAGTATTTCTATATTAGTTCTTCCTTAGTCGAATATAGCTTATAGCCTTTATATATATTACTAATAATCTTTTAGTATACTATTATATTATTTATACTATACTTATACTTTTTTATATTTATAAACTCTATAGTTTAGGTATATATATTCGTTATAATCTTCTTTATTATATTTAACTTATTATATAAGTCTTTAAAAGATTAAGGGTTTAGATATCTTAAAGCGAGTAGCGTTATACTATTCTTTTATTTTAGTATATTTATAGATTTTATATATCTTTAAAAGATATCTTACTAATAAACCGTAATTATCGCGGTATTTAAGTAGCGTGCTATAATTAGGTTCTAATAATATAACTTAGTTGTTTAGGTAGCGTTAATCGATTTTCTAGTAGTTTAGTTTTATACTTAAGTAGGGTTTCGAAAGTACTTATCCCTTAAACCTAACTAAGAAAGCGTTATATTATACCTTTATCTAAAAGTATATTATATAATCTAGGTAGATATATAATATCTATAAAATATACTTATAGTACTTATAAGTAAGTAGTATTTATAGATTATCTTTAAATTCTCCTTATAGTTATTATTCTTATTATAAAGCTATAAAGGTATCGACTATAGTAATAGCTATAGTATAGTCTCCTTTATATAGTACCGGTTAATATCGAATTAATATAGCTTATTAGTTTTCTATAAGAATTTAAGGTATTTATTAGGTTTTAATTTTAAGTATTTCTTTAAATTCTTTAAAGTATAGAGCGTATTCTTTAGTTATAGTATTTTCCCTTAATAGTAAGGGTAGTAGTATAAGTTTATTTTTATCTTTTATTTTTTTAGGTATTTCTTATTCTTTAAAGCTTATATCGTTAATACTTTATTATTCCTCCTTAGGTTATTATCTAAGTTTTATAAGTATAAGGGCTATATCTATATCTTCTTTATTATATTATTTATAGACTACCTATCGTTATTATCGATTTTTATTTTATATATCTTCTTAGAATTATTTACCGTTCTTTTTAATTTAGTCTTAAAAGACTCCTTTAAGATAAAGGTATTCTAGTTCTATAAATTTAACTTATTTCTATATTTTAAGATCCCTTTATTATATTATTATAAGGGTTTTCTTTAGTAGCTTTAGGAACTATCTAGTACTATTTTTATCGCTTAAGTATACTATATATTTATTATTATAGTATATAGTCTAACTAAGGAGTTTATACTTTAGTTCCTATCTATTAATAGCGTTTAGGTATTTCTTACCTTCTAGGGCTAGTACCTAGTAGGTTTTCTTCTCCTTATAAGGTTATCTATATTCTTTAAAGTAATATCTAAGTTTCCTATAGTTAAAATACTTTCCTTTACTTTTCTATATTATATCTAGATCTATCCTATTTAAGTTAGTTATATAGGCGTAGGTAATAAGAGTTTCGCGCTTTTTCTTATAGTTAGCGCGTTAGCTAAAGTTATTTCTATAAGAAGGGTTCTAGTTTCCTCTTTTTTATTTCTTTTCTTAGCGTCGCGTATACTATCTATCGTCGATTTATACTACTACAGTAATATAGTCTAAGAGGTTATTAAGTCGATTTTCCTTATAGAGCTCGTCCTTAACTTCTTCTTTAAGCTTATCGTAGAATCGTAATATAAGGGGTTTATTATCTTAATTAAGCTTTAAGGTAACTTAACGGAACTTTATAGTATAATCTAATACTAAGATCCTTTATTAGAGTTCTTAGAGTTTCTATTTAGCTTTTTATTCCTTATTAGTTATTCTAAATACCTTTATAATAGCTTCTTCGAATCCTTAGAAACTAATAAAGACTTTATTTATTTTATTATCTTATCGCGCTAGTTAGTTATTAAGAAAGTCCCTTATAATAGGTCTAAACTAAGTAAGTACTATTCTAAATAAGTAATTTCCTATATAGATATTACGGAGTAGGTAGAGGCGTGCGCGTAGGTGCCGTCCGTAGGATAATGTTAATAAGCTATATAGAGCTCTCCTATACGCGGCTAGCCCGTATATATACGTACGGGATCCGGCCCTCCGTACGTAACTATACGGCTTAGGCTATAGCCTAAGCCTATAACCTATAATAGTTAAAGACTCTTATATAATGCCCTCCCTCGAGCGTAGCGCGGCGTTGCCCTATTAACGGCTTCCGCACTATAGGGCCCGTGCCGCTAGCTCTACCCTGCCCTTTTCCGTTAATCGTGCTAGCCCTACTAGCCCTATTATCCCCGCGCCTATTAGCCCGGGCAGCCGGAACCGGGCTCTATACTTATTAGCCGGCTGGCCGTTTAAATAGGGGCGCAACCTATTATATGCGCCCCTAGGTAGCCGGCGGCCGGCCCGGACCTACGTAAGCCTTAGGTTGCCCGTCCCCTCGGCCTTAGGCAGCCTCCTCTACCTAGGGGTATATAAGGCGGCATCCCCCCCTTCCTCCTTCTTTTCCTTCTCCTCCTTCTTTAACCGTAGTAGTAGTAGTAATAGGTAAGTTCCGCTCTACCTAGGGCGTTAGTTCGTTCCTAGCTATACGGGCCGCTTTATTAACGTATACTTATAGTAATAGCCGTAGTAGCAATAATAGCCCTAATAATAATAACTTTAACTAGTAAGTTCTCCGCCTTATAGAGCGGGAGGCCGTAATCCGTAATGCTAACTTCCGCGATAGATATATCTGCCTCCCCCTCTCCCGCTTCCTCCTTCTCGGAGCGTGCGGAGTCGTTCGTCGACGCCGTGCTAGGCACGGCCGACGACGGCTCCGCCGCTGCCGCTGCTCCTGCCCGCGCCCCCGCTCCTGCCCGCGCGACCGCGCCCACCGCCGCCGCCTCTGCCTCTGCTGCGCTGGCCGCCCTCACGTCGCCCTTCCGGGTGACGACGCCGTCCCCGCCGCCGGCCGTGACGCCCGGCCCCTCTGCCCCCGCCTCCGCTACTGCTACCCCCGTAAGTCCGCTGCCTAGCGAGCGTGGTGGCTATTTTCCGCTAACTTCTTAAAGCACAAACGCTAAGTGCAGGCCGGAGCCGCCCGCGCGGCCCCCTATATACGGTGCGCGTCGTAGGAGCTCCCCTACGCCGACTAAGTCGGGCGCCGCTATAGCGGCAGTTGTTACCAGTGCGCGCGTGCCGGCCGCGCCTGTGAGGCGGCGCCTCACCGCCGCCGCCGCCGCCTACCGCAATCTCCGCGCCCTCGAGCGCTAGGGCCTCGTCCCTAAGTAAGTTCCTCTTATCTAGCTCTTTTGCTTCCGCTGCTAACTCCCCCGGTACTAGGGACACTGCCTCCGTCGCCCTATCGGCGGTCCCCTTGGCCGTGCCCGCCGCCGCCCCCGCCGCTGCTGCTGGCCGGGCCCCCCCCGCCCCCGGAGCCCCCGGAGCCGCCGCTGCCGCCGACTAGCTCGCGGGCCTAGAGGGCCGCCTAAGCGCCTTAGAGAGCGCCGCCGCCGCTAATAAGGTAGAGGAGGATAACGAGGATAAGGATAAGGATAACGATAAGGATAAGGAGTAGGTCTAGGTAGTCTAAGGGCTCTGCCTTAAAATAAACGCTATTTTTATCTCTACTTATATAATTACGCTCGCGTTATCGTAACTACTTACTCTACTTTACTTACTTCGTAGTCTTAGCCTAGGCTATTATCGGTAGTCCGCTAGTCCGTTATTCTTATCTACTATTTTAAATAAGGCTTTAAACTTATCGAGGGCTATAGTTCCTATAAACTTATATATAGGTTCCTACGTAGGGTCGAGATACCCGCGCTACTTAACGAGGACCTCCTAGCGTTTCCCCTTACCGACCTTTTTCTAGCGCGCGGCCTATATCTCTTCGACCTTAAACTCGTCCTCTCTCTCTACCTCGATTACGGGCGGTTAGGCGTCCGCTACTTCTTATCTAGGTAGCGGGTTAGAGGAGGCTCTATAAAAGAGGTCTACGTTAATCTTATTATAGACCCTTATTAAGAGACTATCGAGCTCTATAACCTACGGGCTAATAACCCTCTATACTATAAACTTCGCGTATAGCTAGTTAAGCTTCTTCTTTAGTTATACCGACCTATAGTTACGGAGGTCTAGCTATACCTTATCTCCTACTACGAACCTATCTACTAGGGCCCTAGTCTTATTAGCGTGCCGCTCCTAATCTTACGCTGCGGCGGCTATCGCGGATTAGTAATAATCCGTAGTCTCCTATAGCTTTCGTATAAACGTAGAAGCGCGGCCCTCTAGTAACGAATTACTATACTACTCCGCTACTACGTTTATAGTAAAGGGAACTAGTAAGGGTGGTTTAAAGCTATATATTATAAAGAAAGGGGCTATCTTAATAGAGGTATATAGTCTACTATTTAATATAAGTTAGGCCGCGGGGAGCTACCGGTCTTAGTCTACTTAGTTATAGGCTACGATAGCTCGTAGGTAAGCCTATACCTCCTAGTTAACCCTCTCGGGCCCTCCGTTAGTCTATAGGTAATATACCGTGCTAAGTAGCTATATAATCTAAAGTAGCTAGTATAGGTACTACTAAAAGCGGCTAGTTTAATTCGATCCCTTATCGCTTATAATAGAGGCTAGCTAGCTATATAAGCGGGCCTAGTACTATAGGAAGCGCTCTACGTAGGACTCTATATCTATAAACGGTATCGGCTCTAATACTATAGACTTACTAAGTCGGTCCTTAATTACCTATATATAGCGGTTGCCGCCCTCTATAAGTAGGAGGTCCGTTATAAAGTCTATCTATATATACGAATAGAACTAGTTAGGCACTAGAAGCTACTTAAGTAGCCCTTTAAGCTACGCCCTTTAGATCTTCGTATAGCTATAGATATCGTAGTTATAGAGGAAGCAACGAACGTAGTACTATAGGAGGGGCTAGTAAAAGTCCCTTATAAGGCCTACTACTATGCCCTATCTACCTAGGTAACCTACGATGCTAGAGTTATAGATAAGTTAGACTAGCCTCCCTTAGAGCTCGTTCTATTTATTTAGCTCCGGCGGTCCCTCCTTCTCCTTAGCTTCTATAGTATACTGTACGCCCGGTACCTATAGTCTCCCCCGCTAGCGTAGATACCCCTATAGGTTAATATAGTAATCGGCTACCTATACCTTTAGCTTTAGCTTTAGATCTAGGCGTCGAGCGCCGGACTTAATAGCGCGGCGTACGCCCTCATAGGTACGGTCTAGAGCCGCCATCCTATCCTATAAGCGTTAAAGGGCCTTATCTTAGAATACTCTCGCCGCGCGCGCCCCTAGGCCGGTCTATCCCTCCTCGCCGGACTAAGGTAAGGGCGCGGGGGGAAGCTTATTCGCTAGCACCGCGTCTTCCTCTACTAAGGAAGCTCCTATATAAGTCCGTAGTGCTTCCTATAGGATAAGCTATAGATCCTAGGCCTCGATATCCGCTCTCGTCGGCCGGTCTTAATCCCTCCGGGAAAGCGCGTCTAGGACCGCGGAGTCCCGCCTAGGGCGGTACTTAATCGAGAAGTTAAAGTATAAGAGATACTCGCTTGGCTTACGCTCCGAGAGGTACTAGTAAGTTATAAAGTACTTAAGGTTCCTATAGTCTATAAGAACCTTAAAGCTCTTATAGCTTTAGAGCTCCGCTTACTATTACTTAAGGTAGCTAATAATCGCTAGTATCTCCTTATCGTAAATAGCGTAATTCCGCTCCGCTAGGGTTAGCTTATAGGAGTAGAACGCTATTAGTTACTTCCGCCCGTTTACCTTTTAGGAGAGCGTTCCTTTAAGTGCCTAGCCGCTATAGTCTACTTTAACTAACGTAGACCGGTCGAAGTCCTACTAAAGTAGTACTAGGGCTTAAGAGAATAGGTCCTTAAGCGTATAGAACGCTCTTTCCTATATAGGCCCCTAGCGAAAGGCGGTCCGCTTCCTAGTAATCTTATTTAAGGGCATTATAATATAGGAGAAGCCCTTAATAAATATCCTATAATAGTTCGCGAACCTAAGGAAGCTCTATACGCCTATCTATATAGTTAGGGCAGCTTAGTCTTAAATCGCCTAGATCTTTACGGGGTCCGCTTATATACCTACGCTTATATAGATAATAAAGCCTAGGTACTTAACCCTCTTAACCCTAAATTTATACTTATCTAGGTCGAGGTAAAGCCTATAAAGTTAAAGGCGCTCTAGGACCCTCCGTACTTTCTATATATAGTCCTCGTAGGAGCCGCTTATATAAATAAGGATATTATTTATATATATAGAGGCGAACTTATCGAGGAAGTCCTAAAGCACGTTATTAATATAACGCTAGAAGGTAGCGGGCGCTCTTAAGAGGCCGAAGGGCGTTATAAGCTACTTAAATAAGCTATAGTATATATAGAACGCTGTCTTTTACTTATTACCCTTTAAGATCCGTACCTTATAGAACGCCTATTTTATATCTAGCTTCGTAAACTACTTTGCCTTTAAAAGGTTACGGAGCGTATCTAAGATTAAGGGTAAGGGGTAGCGGTCCGGCCTTATAATTACGTTTAGGGCCCTATAGTCGTAATAGAACTATATCCCGCCCTTTAGTTTACGTATAAATAGGACCGGCGCTCTTACTTTAGAGCTGCTTACTTAAATAAAACCCTTATCTAAGAGGTCCTTTAGCGTCTTTTTTAGTACTAGTAGCTCTGCGTATAATATACTATATAGCGGTCCGAATAGTACGGGTAGTTCCTACCCCTTCTTATTAGTATAGAGTACGATCCTATAGTCTACCCCTAGCTTATATAGGTTAAGCTTATCCGCTTCCTAGGACTTAAATAGTAGTAGGAGGTCGTAAAAGCGCTCCGGTATTTATTACCGTAGCTTAGAGGGCGACTTCGGCTTCTTTATTTAGAGGGCCTTATCGATATCCGCTAGGCTAACTACGTAGACCGCTACGTTAGCCGCTGCCCGGCCTTGCCCCCGCTCTACCTATCGCACGGTTCCTATAAAGATAGAGGCAAGGACTTTTTATACCGAGCATAAAGCTTATACGCTTAGTCCTACGCCTACGGAACTATTATTATAGCGGACCTACCGTTATATAAGCTTAAACTATAGCTTCCTTTAGTATAGAACCGAGTATAACTTTATATATAATAACTAGGGTTTCCTAAGGATTAGGGGAAACTCTAGTTAAGGGATTATATAGGCTACGATAAGCTTATAGTAACTATCGACCTTTATAGCTAGCTATATAATGCCCCTAATTACCGTACCCTCTATCGCGCTTAAGGCGCCCTTTACTCGCCTTAGGGCGATCTTTTCTACCGGCACTTATATCTCTCGCGTAAGCGCCTTATTAACTACGGCGTAGCACTAGTAGCCCTCGTCTATAAGGGCGGTAATAGGCAAAGAGTTATTAATTATAACCTATATTAAAGTAGGCTCCTTTTCTATATAAGCGGATAATTCTTCCTTCTCTTTTACTAGTGCTAGTAATTAAGGCTCTAGAGCCCGTCTTTACTCTAGAGCTACTCTTTTTCCTCTAGGCCTAAGGGGGCGGAGTCCTCCTTATTATCTAAGGCGAGGAGCGGTTCTATCTTCGCTACTTAAACCGCTATAGGCCGCTTAGCTAAAAGGAAAGGGCATTTTAATATAAAGTGCATAGATACTCCGTAACGTAGGCAGCGGCCGTTAGCCTTCCTTTTCCCGATTTCCTCGCTCGTTACCTACTTCGCCCGCTACTTAGAGTACGGGGCGGTATAGGGGGTAGTCGACGGCGTCTTCTTACTATATCTAGCCCGGTCTATGCGGGTAGCCGATATTAAGGTATCCCCGTTTATATCGATAGCCGGTTATTTATCTTATAGAGGGGCGGTAATCCCGTCGCCGCTATACGGCGTGCGCTTATAGAGCTTCTAGAAACATAGCGTTTACTTATAGCCTTAAGCTACCTTTATTAACCGGCTTACGTACTCGCTATAGTTAGTAGGTATAATTACGGGGATAAGTAGCTCCCGTAAGGCCGGCGTAATCGAATTCCGTAGCTATATAAGCTTTACGCTATCTTCCTATACCGTAGTCCCCGCTACTAGTAAGAGCGTCTCTTCGAAATCAGGAAGGAATTCGCTAAAGGTTTATCCGTCTCTCTACTTAAGGGTCCGTAGCCTATCTTACGCCTTCTCCCGCTCCTATACGTTGCCGAACGTATATATAAGGTATTAGAAGAAGTCTTATAGGTCGCGTCTACCCCTAGGGCCGCCCTTATCTTAGAATCCGGAGATCCGCTATATCTAGGGCTCCGGTAGCGTATAGAGGAGCGAATACTACGCTATATCGCGATAGCTATTTAGGCCCTATTTCTCATCGGTTATAAACTTCGTCTATAGCCGGCTAAGGAAGAAGTAAAAGGACTCCGGCTTACTATCCTAAGTCGGCTAAGGGAGCGGCTTCCTTATTAGTAGT